CCGCCCGGAGGGGAGGGGAGGCGAGGCGAGGCGAGGCGAGGCGAGGCGAGGCGGCACCACCACACCCGTGCGGCCTGCTGTGGCCCGGCCTTTCCCCAACGCCGGGGCTTGGGGAGGGGGGGAGGTGCTCCGGCCCCATCCCGTAGGAGCCACAGGTTTCGTAGCAGCAAGGTAAGATTTCTGAAACATGCTTTGGGCTTAGTTTTATATTTTCCTAGGAACTCAGACGCCTAGCGTGGCCCTCCCCAGCGTGCCCAGTGTTTGTGGACGGAGAGCACCCCGTTTTTGAAAAGGTCTGTGTGTTTTTGTTTCTTTTTAAGGAGCGTGAAAACATTTCTGACCCGACTGCAGTCGTCTAAAGAGATGAGATGCATAGCACCTGTAAAAGGTGAAATGACACCTTGTTGATGTGGTAGCGTGAGTGAGATGCTTTGTATGCTTTGCAAATAGCTGTTCAGTCGTAGAGAAATTAATGAAGACCTTCAAGTCCCTATCCTGCCCTATTTAAGCATGGATATGCTGTTAAAAATATGCAAAAAGTCCTGAGTGCCTTGGTTTTGAAATACTCTTGGGGTATGGTAATCTGATAATAACCAAACACCTTGGAGTAGTCTTATCATTTTGTATGAAACCGTATTAATTGTGTGCATAGCAAAACTATGCAGAGGAAGAGAAGATTGGTTATTTGGAACAGCTGCTCTTCAGAGTGCTAATCGCTTCCCTTAAAAATTGATAAGCTGCAACCCTTTCTCAATGAAATTGCTTCTGGGAGTAAGCCTGCACTTTGTGTGAGCAGTCTGGGTAAGCACAGGTAAGGTCTGTGATGCAAAACTTAGTGTTCCCTTCAAGTAGGGAGAGACAAGAGGGATCTATTGTTTAGCGACTGTATTTTTTTTTCCCTTCGGTTTCTTTTGCCATACTGGTAGTCAGTAGGCTTGAATTTGGAGCAGGTCGTTAACAGACAGTTTGTCTTTTTTGTGTGTGTGCTGCAGGGTTTAAGTGCAGTTTTTTGAACCAGCTCAAGACCTAGAGCCTCCTAATGTGACACTGCCTAAGATCAAGGCTTGCTCTGGTGAGCTTTTATGAAAAGTCAGGCACCAAAGTAAGCAGCCAGACTGGGATCTTTCCTCTTAGGAAAGCATGACGCACAGACAGATTTTGCAGAAATAATACCCAAGAAAACTACTGGAAGGTAGATCCTTTCCTTTAAGATGCAACTTTAGCAATCCATTACGTTTTTTTGTGGAAGTTGTGCCTTTAAGCTGTTAAATCAACAAACTGTTCTTGGCCAGTTCTCCTTTTAAGCTCTCGCAGGCCTCTCTTTGAACATCAATATGTAATGCTAGAAGAAAAAGAGGAGGGGAAAAAAAAGAGTTTACGTGATTTACCTCTTCTCTAGCTTCACGTCTACAGAACTGGAAAAATGTGACTTCTTTGCAGTCATTTGTTGTTCCCCAAGAAAGTTTCTGAAATCTCCTTCCTTGTAAGATGATTCTCCGTTTCTCTCTCCTAATCTTAACAGACCATTCTGATAGCAGAGTTTCTACAGTAAAATGTTGATAGGAGGAAAAACAAAACAAAAAACAGTTGATCTCTCTGCTTTGTGATGATCACTATATAGCCAAGGAGCCCAAATGGCAGAGCTTTTGACAGTGCCCTTTGAGTTTTAATGGTATGGCTTTCACCCTTTGTTGTTCTCCCACATTTTTTAAATAACTGACTAGTCCGTTAAATGCGGTGCGCGCGTCTTTCCTTAGGTTCTAGAGATGACATGTTGTATGAACTTGAGCAGCATGCCATTGAAAGGGTGTTTATCTCTGGCATAAGTCTGGCTAGAGTTCCGCAGTCAGGTTCAAGACTAAATCAAGGCTGCTGGTCTTCAGCAGCAGTTGCAAGCTTTCAGATGGTGTGAGAACCATTCCAAAATGTTGAATGATGAAAACCCCAGAGATTACCCCTTCTTGTACAAATCCTACTTTTCCAGTCTATCTCCAGGCTAACAAAATCCTGTTTCTGCATAAAGCAGAAATAAACTAGTTTGGGATCTCGTGTGTCTAATCTGAAACCTGTGTGTCTTTGAATATGGGTGTTAACAAAGTCAAAGTATATCTTAAATGACATCAAATGACAAGCTTTTTCTTTCTCCTTACAAATTGGTTTCATTTAAAGTGAAGATGTTTTTAGACTAAACAGCTAATGCATGTATTTCAATCGAGTAAGGCACTTCAGTAAGCGGTTCCAGGATCCGTTGAATCCAGATCACTGAAAATGCTAATTAATATTAAGCATTTTGAGCACTGAGGTTTTCCCACCTGTAGTGTAGTTCTTCCTGAATTCCTTGCATTATCTGTTTCGTGATTAAAACTCTCTAATAGTGAGCTGTGATGGTGGCGGTGCTGCTTCTTTTTGATGGATGGAAGGTGTGTCAGGAATATCTAATTAACAACCAGAGATGTTTTTGTGGCTCAGACCCTGCATTTCGGCAGATGAGATCACTGGCCTGAGGCCTACTTCTGTCACAGGCTGTCTTTTGTATGAGCATTGTGTCTTAGTTTTCTAGCAGTCAAATATTAATCATCACTAACTTCAGAGCAATATTATGAGCGCACTTTCAAAATAAGTATTGGGAGGAGTGGCATGATTACAAGGGGTGCATCCGGATCTAGATAAATATTGATAGCGAGCTTAATCAACTAAACAAAATTGAATGGGGAAAGGAATGAAGAAAAGAATAATTTTCAATTGTTTATTTACACTATAGTGTTTATCTCCAAGTACATTAACACAATCTTTTAAAATAGTAGATTTTCTTCAGAAAATTATTACTAAGTCATCAATATTCAGTCAAATTCATGTTGGATCTAATTTGGGGCTCTCATACTTGATTTTTCATTTTTAACTCCTGAGAGCCATGAAGCTTATTCTGCCAGGTAAAATCAGCAGATAAGTATACAAATCTAGGTGGTATTTTTATTCTTATTTAACTTAGTACCTATGAATGTTTCTTAATGCTACTTCATAGCATTTTGAAAAAAAAGTTGTTGTAAATTCCAGAATAGTAAAGATTTTTACACTATGAGATACTATACACATGCAGCTTTAAAGTTTTGAAACTTTGGGGTTAAAACTTTTGACTTAAAGTCTTAAAAAGGCCAATATGGACCATAAAGCACAGCACAGCACAGCCAACCAAAGACCTGGTTAAATTTGTTTTGAGGGACCTGTAGAAGATGCGGATATTCTTTGATGCTTGCTTGTTTGTTTGATTTTAATCAGAACATTAATCCTTTACATGCTTAGGCCTGTGTAATTGAGATAGCTCACTGTTTGTGAGGCACCAAAGATGTATGTTCTGAACTGTCAGTGTAGCTGACAAGGATGTGTGTGTCCTGTTGACTGTTCCTAGCAGAACAAAGGTGGTGATAATATTTTGGCCTAAAGAGGTTTCGGGAATTGATTCATTGCTTTGAATAACTTTATTTCTTCTCATTTTCAACATCCTGATAAGCGTTTTGAATGAATGTAAATTTAAATTGTTACTTTCCATCCCAAACTAACCCTTCTGCATCATGGACTTTCTGTTCTATCCTCCATGCTATTACTGTGCTTATCTTAGCAATAACGACTTTCTTGTGCACCTGACTATTTAGTATTCTGCCCTGAATTATGTCCAACCTCTGTCCAAAGGAGAAATAGAATGTATGTTCTTATTTTTTTGCAGTATTCCAAGTGTTTAGGCCGTATAACAGTTAACAGAGTGTATCGGAACACCATGTTGACTATGAATAATTCATGTCGGTGTTCTTTCATTCAGTGTATATTTGGCTCGGTAGCACAATTGAGCGATAATGACGCTGAGGCTGTAGATTTCACTGTTAGTTTAAGAAAGGCTGTTAGATATGGCTCTTCTTTTAATTTCTGGTCAGGTACCTCATCTGAAGTTTTACAGCGTGCCTTACTCTTGTGCTACCAGACAGGATTTCAGTGACTCCAATGAAGTTTTACAGCATAGAGCAGATTAACAGCAGCAGCAAGAGAACAGGTCCAAATAAGTATGATATTTGAGAGAAAGCATAAAGATCAAAGAGTGCTTATTCTAGGAGTTTTTTGGATTTATGAGCTTTTAATGTGTTATTGGGCATACTGACAGCATCAGTTACCTAAGGTGAATTTGTTGGTTAAAAATCAGTTTTTGCTACAGTGCAGAATTATGATCTGAGAACTATGAAGTGATATTTCGGGTTGAGTGATACATCCTGGATAACAGTATATTGGGTGGACCAGAGGCTAGAATGGTGTAATGATAAATGAGCTGATTCACTAAGCTTTTTCAGGCAGCTGGCTAATAATGCCTCAGTGTTGGTCAGCATTGACTCTCCTGGCAAATGTAGTGTTCCCTCCTGTAAGTGCTTGCAGATCGAGTTGCTACTTGCGTGTGTTTTTAGTTTGGCTTTCTCCCTCCTTTTTCACCTTCTTCTGAGAAATAGTGAAAATTATATATGGGAGCCAAGAGCTGTAAGAGGAGGTCAGTGTCCTGTTTGTCAGGAATACTCAGGTTGACTGTTAAGTAATTGCCTGAACCTCTCTCCTTAGCTTTTCCCAGACTGATACTGTTTTGCTCACTGAGGTCAAGTTATTGCTATTATGCTGTGCTTTAAATAAAAGAGAAAGCATGTACTTTTCTTGACGGAAGTTTCCATGAGACTTACTGTTAGGTAGAGTTGCTGACTGACTTAAGAGTTTTAATTCCATTCTTTCTCTGAAACCTTACCAATGAGCTGAAATCAATGAATGAATGAATGTTAACCATAAGCTATTTCGTCTTGTGCTGTGTCCCTAATCTCTTTGCTTGCTGACTCTTCACTCTTCAGAGCACTTCTTCATCTGCTGTTCTGGGGAAATCTTAATTCATCAGTGACGCTTTTGAAACTCGGAAGCCTTACAGTGCAGTATAGTTAATAACTACACCCTCATATCTCATGTATTTAATGCTCTTCCTGTAACCACTAGAAGTTTAATTTCTAGGTGCAGAATATGACATGAAATCCTTCTGCCTTTTGATTTGTCCAGAAATTAATATTGCTAGCTAATCTGACTAGGATTATGCTGCAGTCCTTGGTTGGTTTATTTGTAAATGTTTTTGGAATATAAATAAACAAGACAGATACTCAGGCAAGATGCGTGCATGAATCTGTCTTTGGAGGTATGAATAGTATCTTGCGAGAGCGAGGGGAGCAACTTTGAATTATTTATTTGCTTTTCTCTTAAATATTGAGTGTATTTAACTAAAGCA